ATTAATTTAGTCTTATAAATTAGTCTTAGTTAATGCTTAAATTTTCTTTCTCATTCCTCTTAATTTATTATAAATTTTGGCCAATCTTACAGGCATATGTCTGGTACTATGAATAACTAATTTAAAGACAACAATATACTACAAAACAACCATTGTTGAACTGCTATCATTTTGTTTAGTGAAATTCTGTATTATTTCTTTTTTTTTTGCAATTTTTGTATTCTTTTTAATTTTTTTAAATAAAAAATAGTGAATTTTTCCATGAATCTTACTACATGTAAATTCTACTTCTACTAACCCTTCAAAAATCTAGTTTAACATTCACCCCAACATGTATGTGTCTTCCTCAGGTTTTTCCATCTGAAAAGCCAGTATTGCTCTCTGCCCATTTTGTGAAACCAGAGACGGGAATTTCTTTGCCTTCATCCCCCTCCACCACCTACCTCTAATCCAGCTCTAAATCCCTCTATGCCACTTCCAAACTCCAGTGCAAAGCCGTCTCCTAACCTTCTTGACAGGAGGCACCCCCTGGCCCAAGCCACCTGCTGCCTCACGAAACGCTCCATTGCTTCTCTCCGGGCTGCCTGCTTCCGTTATTGCCCCTCAGACCCACTCTGCATAATTCCAGAATGACAGTTTCAAGTAAAAATTAAATCACACTATATCTTGCTTAGAATATTTCAACGTCTGCCTTTTAGGATCCTGTACTTTGGCCTCCAGAAGGCCCTGCTATCCAACCTAGAGGATGTCACCCCGGAGCTGTCCCCTCTCCATCCGTCCTCTGGTCCCTCCCACCGCATCCCTCATCGACCATACTCCGGCCACTGACTCCAAACTCCACGTACGTAGCTCCTCTAGAAAACACCTGGGTCCTGCTATTCCCTGGTCTCTACTCTTCTACCTCATAACCTCTTCCTGAAAGGCTGGCTCTTTCCTATTCCTAAAGGCATCACATCCTTAGAGAAACCCTTACACATCTTACCAAAGTTCATGCCTGACCTTCGCTTTGTCTTCCCTTGCACTCCCTCACACTTTAAATTATTTATAGCATTTATGAATTAATTTTATTAATATGTTATCCCCTACTGAACTATATATTCTCTAATAGAAGAAACTATTTTTTTCTTTTTTACTTATCATTTTACTTGATGCATAGGAGAAGCTTAAAAAGTGTTGATTTGGTGAATAAATAAATTAATATTTTATTGAAATACATTTTAAGGTTGTAATGAGATTATCACTGAATGTCCTCTCCCAAAGATGTCAACATGCCCACATACCTTAGTGCCCTGGAGCATGGGAACACCTACTGGATATCCTGAGTGAGGAGAGGTCACCAAGTTTCAAAACCTAGAGTGTAGGGATCCTGGTGTCCATCACCCAGAAAGGCTTACCTCGCCACACCAATTGCTTGGCACAGAGAATGGAGCTTGGTGTCGTACAGAAGTGCAAGGCTGTGTGTCCACTTAGGGAGTAGCAGTTGAGCTTAGCTCCATGGTCACAAAGGATCTTCACACAGTCCACGTTGGCCATTTCACATGCCACATGAAGAGGGGTCTTCCCGTTGGGTCTGCAGTTGATTGTGGCATTGTGGTCCAGTAGTACCAGAAGGCATTCCACATGCCCAAACAGGACTGACAAGTGCAAGCCTGTGGCCCAAGAAGACTTCAATTTATAACTCGGCAACCAATAACCTGAGAAAGAAGAAGAAAAAAGAAAGAAAGCACTGTTTCATTTTTTTTTTAAATGTCTTTGGGTTTTGTGAGTTTTACGCATTGAGGAAAAACTGGCCATGGGTTATAGAGTAGTAGTTGGTAGATCTGCTGGTGTTTTGTTCAGTAATATACTTAGATGCACTTAAGTGATTAGGCTTTCTAAGTTTCTGCCTAACTTTCTTTCTTTGTAACTTCTTTCCCCTTTCTTCTTTTGTCCACCTCTCTCTTGCTTTTTTCCTTCCTTCCTTCCTTCCTTCCTTCCTTCCTTCCTTTCTTCCTTCCTTCCCTTTTCTTTCTTATTTTGCCACAGTCTGGGGACTAACCCCAGAACCCCACACATCCTAAGCAAGCGTACCACTGCACTCCATTCTCAGCTACTTATTTTTGAGACAAGATCATCCCGTTTCTCAGGTGAGCCTTTAACTCGCAATCTCCCTGCCTCCTCTCCTCCCAAGTGACTGGATTACAGGCATGAACCTACACAGCTTGCTCTTTTCCAAGTTCTTTCTGTCTGTACTATTTGTACTATCTTGTTCCTTAGGTACTTTACCTTCTTGGACCTCAAGGGGATTTTAGTTTGATATTTTCATTTCTGTGGTTGTATTTTATTTTACAGGATGAATTACATGAGACATTTTTAAAACCCTCAGTCATCGAGAATTTGTCTTGAACAATGCAAAGCTGTTAGTTTACAAGCTTTTAATTTTTATTCTAGTTTAATTATTTTCCCTATATTTGTGTTAAGTCCAAAGCACAAATGTTTCAAATATTCTTTTAAAAATCTGTCACACATTCCAAAATTTTAGTTGCATACCTGTTGATTGATACATTACTTCTTTCCAAAAATATAACTAACACAAAACACTAATTTGTACACAATCCAAGATTTTTCAAAATGATCTGGAAAATATAGGCAAAGAAAAAAAAATAACAAGAGGTCAAGAGTACAACAGGTACACAAAATATAAACTACATTTTCTGTGATACAGCTGCACTGTAAATTGGCCTTTGAAATTCCTAGCAGCCTAAATAAACAGGAAAACTAGATGTGTTTTATACTCATATTTGCCTACAAACTAAACACGTATTAGTTGGCCAAGAGATGAACTGTTGTTAGTAGAACTGAGATTTTAGATAAAATGTTATTAACTACTAGAAGGCTTTTTGATTCTCCTCCTTCCCAACCTTTTCCCTCTGACCCAACTTTTTAATATACTGAGCTACTCTTTCTTCTACAAGTCATCAACAGTTGCCACACTTGACAAGCTGTGACATGAGTGTATAAGCCTATGTCAGCATCTATAGTCACAGCACTCTAAACTCAGTATGAGTGGGGATTGGAACCTGCGTAGAGAAGGATGCACTACTGAAGGCAAGACAAAGATGTGGAGATGGCTGAACAGCTTCATAGAGACCTGAAAGTTGAAACAACAAAACGAACTTTAACGTGAATACTTCAAAAGATGGCCTTGAGGCTATAAAAATCTCACAAATAAAAAGTAATCAAATGTGGTACTTGTCAGGTATTTAAGGAAAAACCTAGGGATTTGAGTTAACAGAAATTTCAAAATCAGTGGGAGGGAGCTGCCTAGAAATTTGTGCAATCTTAACTCACATTAGTCAGAACCTGATGCTCTGAAAAAGAGATGCAGAGATTGTATTTCTCACTAAATAGATGAGGCCAAAATAAATCTAAAATATTATGATTATTTCAAGAACCAAACTTTACAAGAAATGATGAGCAACCAGAGGCATTCTAAGAATGATCATGACCATATTAAGGTGAGCCTGGAGACCAGTACTAAAATTCTCTCAGCTAAGTGGGAAGAAAATACACATTTACCACTCCTGGGAATCTCTTCTACAAGCAAAATAATTCGTGGGTGAAATACCTTATAGGACCACAGTACTACACAATTCCAAAAAGCACCACTTGCATTGTACTCTATGAAGGATAATCCTGGGAGTTACTGGTCCTGATAACCTGATCTATCCATCACTGTGTGTACTACAGCATTGGCCCTAATGGTTAAATGGACTGAACACAGCCATGCTGTTCTATAGAAGAGATTAACTCAGTCATATAGCACATCCATTCCACTGAGTACTACATAGCCATTAAAAAGAATGGGACAATTGTATATAGACTCAAATCAATAGAGTCAAGATATATTATAGTATGTAATCATGTTCAAATCTATTTTTAAGTGTTTAAATACCCTGAAGAAAAAAAATCTGCTTATAATGGTGGCCTCCAAGAAAAATCAGCAACTGGGGGATAAGGACATAGATATACTTGTTGCTAAGTGACCCCTTTATAACTTACAAATTTAGAGTCTGATACATGTATTAAATTTTTTTTAATTTTATAAAATTGGGTCAGGGATATAGCTCAGTAGCATAAGTGCCCACCTGGCAAGTGCAAGGTCCTGAGTTTGATCCCTGGTACAGTAAAATAAAATAAACAAAATTTTATAAATAAAAATACATCCTTCAGCCAAAGGGAAAACAGAACTTAATTTAAAGAAACCATTTACAGGGTCATACACAATGCTGATTAAACCCATGGGCATGGATCAACATAACTCAAAGTTTACCTTTCTATAGCCAACCCTTATGCCTAAGACACACACACACACACACACACACACACACACACACACACACATACACAATCCCTTTGCCTTTCCTGCATTCTAAGGCCACCTTTCTTCTGAACCCACATCTGCCCTAACTCAAATCAGCCTTTTCAAAAGACTTTCACTTACTTTATCCTAAGGCTTAATGGATCAAAGATTGTTTAAACTGTGCTCCCTCCTCTGTTTATCTAAATTTATGTGGGAATCCACATTCAGCCATCAAGTTCCAAGACAGTGACAGGAGATTTGAGACACTGAGAAGGATGATCTTCAGTGAGAAGGATTTTCCCAGCAGACCCACGTGTCTTAGCATCGGAGTCAACTGAATTAGGAAGCGTCCACCTAGTGTGCGTTCGCAAGTGTGGACAGACGTGCACATGTGCACAACGTAGGGGCACAGGTATATCCACACCTGTCTATACGTGTCCATTTAGCTGTGCACATTGAATACGTGCTGCAGGCAGAATTCTTAAGCTAAATTGCATGCAACCTGCTTTGATCATTGACCATTAATGAATCCTATCAATATCAATACATAGTCATTTTAATACTCAAATTTCCTCAGCAAGCAATTTGCAAAGAATTGTTTGTCTATCTGTTTGTTTTTCTATCTTGGAGAGAAGCTGGTTCCAGATGTGAAAGCCAAAGTGTATTTTGCCTGCAGATTAGCCTCACAGTAGAGGCAGCTCTGGTCTGCAAAGACTGGAAGCTCATGCCTGCTTCTGTGATGAGAAGAAAAGATGATCTCCAAAAGGGGGCAGCACAGAGCTGATTAAGCAAACACCATTTTGATGTAAAAATCAAAGAAACACAGACCTTCGATACCAGAGGGAGGATTCTGCATTCCGAGCCTTTCATTTTCCAGATGAGAAAGCTGCCAGTTTTTAGCCTGCCAGCGCCATAGGCCTCGCCTGCCTCAGCCCAAGCTCGTGGGCCTGGAGAGCTGCAGTGTAGTTTCCATCTTTCTTTGTCTTGGTGGAGGCAGAGCTCCAAACCTGCTTTACAAAATTGCAAAGAAAGAAGATTCTGCATTCATTTGTAACATGTCGCATCTCTCACATGGAAATGCATTTGCTTATTGATGTTTCTCCTTCCTCGTAAGCTCCCAGTAGCACCTGGAGAATTCATCTGTCCTGTTCATTGCAGGAATCAGTCATCCTTGTCTTCTCCATCAGTTTCATCTGCGTCTTCCATAATCAGAACCATTAACTGGTAAATCAGGCTCACAGACCATGAGGCCTGGGAAAGGAGCCAATCCTCAGAACAGACTCGCACCTATGACTTGCTGCTGCTAGATGGGACCGCATGCAACTGAACAAGACAGCTGCCCCTAGAGAGGCAGAGGGGACACATGGGCATGGCCCTGGGTCAGGGCATGCTGGCGTTCATCCTAAATCTGTTTTAGGACTTTGGTGTGAGCTTGGCTCTAGGGGCTCCTAGACAATTTACCCTTGAGCTGAGCGGGAAAGCCTGCTGCACTGAACAGTGAGAGACCACAGGTGTGCACCACCTACAATGGGGCGAGGGACCTGGGTCGCCATATAGGAAGTGTGGAAGTAAGTACACGTACCCTCATGGAGGACTGAGCCCCATGTAGAGTGGCCTTCAAACACCATCGGTGGGACAGTGCCTGTCAACATACTTGTGTGGGTGCTGAGATGCAAAGAGATCGGGGCCGGGGAGGTGGCTCAATAGAATAAGTGCTTGCCCGGCAAGTGCAAGATCCTGAGTTCGATCCCCAGTACCAAGGGTGGGGGGAGAGAGAAAGAGAGAAAGAGAGAGAGAGAGAGAGAGAGAGAGAGAGAGAGAGAGAGAGAAATCTGCCCCACAAACTAGAACCACCTTTGCTCCCAGCATGCTAGCAACACCATGAAGTGACCTACCAAGATTGATTTTTTGACTGTTCTTTCCTCCACAGAATTTTTCCAGATTCAAAGCCTACAATGTGGTTTATTCTTAGTGTTTGTATTTAAAAGACCCCCTGTTTACCTACAGATGCTGGGCTGCCCCGTCCTGTGAGCTCCGGCTGTACACTGTACAAAAGGACAGAGGTAGGAAGCAGCAGGAGATGGTGCCCTGGGGGGCTGGGTAGGAGAGGAAAGATTCAGACTGTCTCTCGTGTAAAGCACTCACTGTCCACCTGAAGTCTGAAGTCTGTGCAGTGATGGCTCCTTTGAGAAGAGGTGGTGTTGGCAAAGGGCTTACTGAAGATCAGGGGGAGAGAGAGGGAGAGAGACAGACAGACAGACAGAGACAGAGACAGAGAGACAGAGACAGAGACAGAGACAGGGAGACAGAGACAGAGAGACAGAGACAGAGACAGAGACAGGGAGACAGAGA